TAAATCATGTCACCTACCTAGTGTGGTTCCTGCTGTAATTTATTCCCTGCTCATTTTGGAGGGATCATTAGCCCAGCTCTGTGAGGTTTTTACTAACTACTATTGATGCTTCAAGAGGGGAAGGGATGGGAAAAATCAGGGGTGTGCACATATGAAATAAAGCGTTTGACCAAATCCACATTTCTGCAGTAAACACTCCAGAGTTCTGGCTCAGGTTGCATCCAGTTTGAAAATGAACATACTTACAAATAACCTTTCACAAAAATAGAGGGAAAAGAAGAAAATCCCCAACCACTCTAATTTTGAATGCAATTAACTATAAAGATCCATGCAATCGTGTGCTGGGGGGCTGAAATTCATTCACAGTGGGTTGAAAACACAACCCAAGGAGGACGGTGATGGTGAGGAGCTTCATGAGACACCCTTGCTCAGAGAGCTCCTCTCTGAATGCCCAATTTCTGAAAAACTCCTGCTCATCCCAGGCTTTTAAAACCCTAATCATCTCTGAAACTGGTGGCTGGCTTCCAAATTCAAATGGCTCCCCAAAATATCAATTCCATTCTCTTCTGTTTGCCTCAAATCTTCCTGTTTTGGCCAAAACTGCCAATTTCAGAGCACTGATGTCGTGATTGGCATCCCCTAAAGCACAAAGAGAATTACTCTGCTGATGGTCAGACTGCTGCAGTTCTGAATTACCAGGCTGTTATGACTCACTGTGGGTACATAATTAGTTAATTAAACTTTCTATGCAATTTATCTACACAAATGTTAAAGCCGAAATTCTGATTGCCCTGTGAATGGCTTAAAACTCAGCTTAGCATTAAACAGAAAACAAAGGTAAATGACACAGCATCTGAATGGCCAGCAATGCTAGGAAATAAAAGTTTACTGTGTGGAAAAGGAATTTTAGAAGGAGATCTTGTCTTAGAAAGCTACTGACTCTTCAAGGATGTTATAAAAAGATTTGGTACAAGCCACTCCTAAGCAATTTAGTTTTGTAGAAAAGCCACAGTGAATTGCCAGGGTTCATGTAATGGTCAATGGAAGATTAAAATAATGAAATTTTGACCCCACAAGATATTTTAAACCATATGATTGGGATAAAGAAATCCCATTATCTGGTTCAAAATCTGATCCTCCTGAGGAAGGCAGCTGAAAACATTTCAGAGGGTGCATCAGATGCTGTCAATAAAGACCTCAGTGGCTGTGGTGAAACCTCCAGAGGGCAGAAATCCATCCCTTGGGCTTTGCAACAAGTCAAAATAAAATACTGAGGGGGACTCTGAGACTCCTGCATGCATGGAAGGATGGGAAAGAGATGGAGATCCCTAATGAATCCCAGAATGACCTCCTGAGAACTTGACATCTTCTAAAAGCACCGGAACCCACGAGGATGAGGACGTTTAGCAGCAAGCAGCAACAAAAGCATGCAGGATAAATAATGAATGCCCCATCCTACAAGCAATCAGACACTCAGAAGTTTCCTTTTTCCCTTGTGGGAGCCATTAAAATCATCAAAAATTCCAAATGGCCCTGCCCAAAAGAGAATTTTGCAGCCATGTCTGCCACAGAGACCAGTCCTACAGACTGTGGAGGGTTCCCAAGGTGGGACACAGAAATTTTCCTGCCAGGATCAGTTTTTAGGAACACAAAAAGCTTCATGGTGGATGACTCTGAGGCCCATAATACTCAGCACAGTTTTTCCTACTGAGTGAAGACTCCTTCTACAGAGTCACATTAAACAGGAAATCTTTGTCCCAAACTGATGACTTTTATCCAAGGAAATCAGACTTTTAATAACAAAAAAAAAAGAGTTTTTATGACAACAGGTTTCTGGTTCGCTTATTGAGTAAAGACTCCTTCTACAGAGAGTCCCCTTAAAAAGAAAATCCTTGTCCCAAACTGATGATTTTTTTTTTTTCCCATGGAAATCAGACTTTTAATAACAAAACAAAAGAGGTTTTATGGCAACAAATTTCTGCTTCACAGCCCAGGCTACTCAAATTCTAGAGGAAAAGGACTTCTCCAAAATCCCATCTTTACACTCAGTGTCTGTGAGAGAAACCAGAACTGTGGTTACTGAGGAAAGGGAATTTCCTGACAAACCCCAGAACTATCTCTGCTCTCTTGAAAGAGACAGTCTGGGACATCACCCCATCCTTCTTTATTTCCCTGCCCTGTCAGCAAAGCCCCAGGGTTCACCCTGCCCCACTAATGGCTTTGCATTTCAGACCAGGCTCATCCCCTCACTCCACAATGGACAGAAAATCTCCCTTTTCAGTGCACAACTCTCCCTTTTCAGTGCACACACCAAGTCTGCAGCGAGCAGCATTGATCATTCCATTATCACTCTGTTATCCTTAATTTCCTCTTCATCTTTGCAGTCAAACTCCATCCCAGACCCCATCAATAGTGCTGGCAACACCCTGATGGATTACCCTGGCTCTGGCATGCTGCAGGTACCCTGCAAAAATTGCTTTTGTGTTGCCCCAGCACCACTGAGCTCTCCTAAACTGTTCAGAGCAGAAAAATGGGATTTTTTTCAACACTCTGGTGTGACTTTGCAGCAGGCACTGAACTGCTGCTCCAGGCAGTTTGACAAAGCAGCAGAACTGTGCCAGTTTGGGCACTCTGACAGCAGCAAAAAGCAGCTTTAGGAGCCACCTGGGCAGCTCCTCAGTGCCAGGGGATCCTGCCCAGAGATGGGAACCCCAGGGATTTCCAGGGCTCCCCACTCTGAATAAATGAAGGCAGAAAAATTAAACTTGAGAAGTTTTGTGAGATGAAGCAGCTCTGTCGTCCTCTGAGAGCAAAGGAGTTTTTGGGGGAGGAATGTCCCAAGAGTTCCTCCCTGTGGGAGCAGTGATTTCCTGCAGAAAAGCTGCCATTGGCTTTGGTTTAAAGGATAAAAAAACCCCTTTTCTTCTCCTTTCCAGATCCAGCCAAACCAGCAGCACTTGCCTGATCCACAGCCCAACCAAGGGTCCCACTGGCCCCAGAAATTACAATACTGAACACTGTGGACATTTGGGATTATAAGAAATGCCAATTAAAAAATTAAGTAGGTCTCATCTGCTCATTTTTTCTGCTACCCAGAGATTCTTTGAGCCAGGCTGTTCACAGCCAGGATGTTCTCAGGAACCTGATTTCAGAGTTTATCTGAGTGCAAGCTGCATTAAGAGCAGCCCATGGCACAGCACAACCTGTGACCCTTCCTTCTCTTTCTATGTGAGGTTTTTGTCCCCTCCCATTTGGCTGTGCTGCCCCAATTATTCACATTATTCACATTATTGAAAGCACCACCCAAATGGGCCCAACCAAGAGTCCCACTGGCCCCAGAAATTACAATACTGAACACTGTGGACATTTGGGATTATAAGAAATGCCAATTAACAAATTAAGTAAATCTCATCTGCTCATTTTTTCTGTTCACAGCCAGGATGTTCTCAGGAACCTGATTTCAGAGTTTATCTGAGTGCAAGCTGCATTAAGAGCAGCCCATGGCAGAGCAGCTCTGCAGGGCAGAAGCACAACCTGTGACCCTCCTTCCCTTGCTCTGGGAGGTTTTTGTCCCCTCACATTTGGCTGAGCTGGCTCAATTATTCACATTATTCACATCATTGAAAATACAACAATACCCCATGAAATGAACGACACTCACTGAGATGTTTAAGGCAAAAAAGAGCTCATTTATTTCTTGATTTGGATGTTTATAGAATTCCAAAAGTGACCACGGACTGGAGGATGAAATTGCTACTTCTCCAACCACACTGGTCAAACCAACAGTTCATTAATTCTCTCCTCCTCCAGAAAGGAATGAAAAACCATCATTATTTGCATGAACAGTGTGTGAGAAACTTCATTACAGATATGTAAACATCAGCAGGCTGAGAAGGGCTTTAGAAGAGCAGGGTGACACAGCTGTCATTGTCCCTTTTCCTGGACAGCTTTCCTTGCTGGCTTCCACACTGCCCATTTGTTTTGCAGATTTCTCCTCTGTCCATCTCCAATTGGTGCCTTGCTCCTGCTTTTGTAGAGTTGGAACTGGAAGGACACATTTCAAATTTCCAGGAGAAAATAAAATTTCAAGTGCCCTTCATTTCAGCCTGAGATCTGTAGCTGGAAATTCCTGGGTGATTTGCCAAACTTCTTTTAACTCAATAACAGAGGGGAAAAAAATCTCAATGGAGCAGGCACTGAGAATAATTACCCATTCTCCTCCACACATGAACTATTTATAATCAAATCATCCAGCTTTGTCTAGGCAAAGCAGCAGAAATGCCAATGGATTCTAGAAGAGATATTCATGAAATGTCACCCTTTAAATTTTCATCTAATTCTGGGTATATTGTTAGCATTCAAGAGATTAGACCTACCTAAGCTTAACTTAACTGCTCATCCAGAAGGAAGCAAGAAGTAAAAGAAAGGAACATTTTAATACCGTGCATTAAAAAAAAAAGAAAAAAAAAACCCAAAGTAATAAAACGAAAGTAATAAAAGATGTAAAACAAAAAAAAAAGTAATAAAAAGCAAAACAAAAAGTAATAAAATGAATAATTAATAAATTATTATTTAAAATAAATAATAATTTTTAAATAATAAAAATTTTATTAATAAATAATAAATTTAAGAATGTATTATTTATTAAAATAAATTATTAATTTTTCTTCGTGTAAAGAAATGAGGACTTCAGGAACCAAATTGTGCATGTTAAACAGAGACAACAGCAGTCATTCAAACAAAAATGTATAATCCTTAGAGCAGAGAAGCTCTTTACATAGAATGATTTAACACCACGCTCATACAGCAGTAACCAATAGAAGACAGAAGGATAATTAATAAGACAACAGCACAATTTTCAGCCGAGATGTAGAAATAGCGAAAATCTTTAATTGTTGGGTCGGTCCGTGGACTGCCGGGGCTGGCCTCAGGACTACATTTCCCACAATGCCGCGGGGCGGGCGCTCTCGCGAGAGCTGGCGGAAGCGGCGGGGCGCGGCCCGGAAGTGGAGCCGCCGCCGGAGCCACCATGGCCGAGACCGACCCCAAGAGCGTCCAGGACCTGACGGCCGTGGTGAGGCCCGGGCCGGGCTGCGGAGAGCCGGGGAAGGAGGGAGAACCCGCTTCTGGATGGGGCTGGGAGCAGCTGCTCCGCGGGAGGTGTCGCTGGGCGTGGCAGGGGGTGGAAGGAGAAGGGGCCCTCATCACAACCCGGTCTGTGACGCCACAGAATCCCCCTGTGGTTAACAGGGCCATGGAGATTAACGGGGCCACGGACGTTCACAGGGCCACGGACATTAACAGGGCCACGGAGGTTAACAGGGCCATGGACGTTAACAGGGCCATGGACGTTAACAGGGCCACGGACGTTCACAGGGCCACGGACATTACCAGGGCCATGGACGTTCATAGGGCCACGGACATTACCAGGGCCACGGACATTACCAGGGCCACGGACATTACCAGGGCCATGGACATTAACAGGGCCACGGACATTACCAGGGCCATGGACATTAACAGGGCCACGCAGATTACTAGGGCCATGGACATTAACAGGGCCACGGCGATTACCAGGGCCATGGACGATAACAGGGCCACGGCGATTACCAGGGCCACGGACATTAACAGGGCCACGGACATTACCAGGGCCATGGACATTAACAGGGCCACAGCGATTACCAGGGCCATGGACATTAACAGGGCCACGGCGATTACCAGGGCCATGGACGATAACAGGGCCACGGCGATTACCAGGGCCATGGACATTAACAGGGCCACAGCGATTACCAGGGCCATGGACGATAACAGGGCCACGGCGATTACCAGGGCCATGGACATTAACAGGGCCACGGCGATTACCAGGGCCATGGACATTAACAGGGCCACGGACATTACCGGGGCCATGGACGTTAACGGGGCCACGGAGATTACCGGGGCCATGGACATTAACGGGGCCATGGAGGTGCTGTCCTGACTTTGGTCCTGGTTGGGGAGGCGGCCGGGTTCTAGATCTTACAAATGTTTCCTGTAACACTTTGTTATACATGTATTTAAGTAGCACTTTTACCTCTAGGTATAACTGTACTGCAGGGGTTTGAGTTTAGCAGTGAAAGATCAATGTAGTTGTTACATGAGATCGGGTAACCTGAAGCCTCTGAAGGAAACAAACCATTTCTTTTTTATCCCTTTCTATTAGGTGCAGACATTGCTCCAGCAAATGCAGGACAAGTTTCAAACCATGTCTGACCAAATAATTGGAAGAAATATCCTTTTCTAAATTCAGATGGGGGCAGCATTACAAGTGTCACCAAATCTGGTTGGCCAGTGGGGTTTGTAAGAGAAATTTGAAGCGGCCATAAGTGTTTGCTCAAAGCTGTAAGGATAAAAACAATGAAACCAAGGGAGTTTTAAACACTTGTAGGGGAATGTTATCATTTGGGGCTGGGAAAGGAGGGACCAGAGGCTCCAGGGTGAGCAGAGGATGGAGCAGCTCTGCTGGAAATCCCAGCTGGCACAGCTGGGATTGTTCACCTAAAAACGTGAAACTTCAGGGTGGTTTAATGGTGGCCTGAAGGGAAAGGTGAAATGGGACTGTTTATAGGAGCCTGGAGTGACAGGAGGAGGGGAATGGGCTCGGATTGAGGAGAGCAGGCTGAGATGGGATTTTGGGAATCAGGAATTGCCCCGGTGAGTGTGCTGAGAGCCTGGCACGGCTGTGCCCGACTCTGACAGTGCCCAGGGCTGGGCTGGGGGGGCTCTGAGGTGCCTGCTGGGGCTGCTGTCCCTGTCCCTGAGCTGTCCCTGTCCCTGAGCTGTCCCTGTTGTCCCTTGACCCCCGGGCAGTCGATGACATGAGCTGCCGCATCGATGACCTGGAGCGCAACATCGCCGACCTCATGATGCAGGCGGGCGTGGAGGAGCTCGAGGGGGAGAACAAGACCCCGGCTTCCAACAAGGGCTAAAGTAAATCCTGGCTTTGCAGCTGACCCCTGGGCCTTTGGAATTGCTGGCTGGGACGCACAGAGGGAGCTGCTCCTTGGTTTGGGGGCTGCTCTGGGTGATTGTGCTGGAGAGAGACAGAGAGAGGGATAAAGAGAAAGAGAGCAGGGCCAGGGAGGGGAACAGAGCACCAGGAGCTGCTGAGGGGGCTCAGCCTCAAGAAAAGGGGGCTCAGGGGGACTCTCCTGGCTCTGCACAACTCCTGCCAGGAGGGGACAGCTGGGGGGTTAGGGATCTGCTCCCAGGGAGCAACAGGAGGAGAAACAAAGCCCTGGGAGTTTGGAATTGCTGGCTGTGACACAGAGGGAGCTGCTCCTTGGTTTGGGGGCTGCTCTGGGTGATTGTGATGGAGAGAGCATGGCTAGGGTAGGGAATGGAGCACCAGGAGCTGCTGAGGGGGCTCAGCCTGGAGAAAAGGAGGCTCAGGGGGGCCCTTGTGGCTCTGCACAACTCCTGACAGGAGGGGACAGCTGGGGGGTTAGGGATCTGCTCCCAGGGAACAGCAGGAGGAGAGGGAACAGCCCCAGGCTGGGCCAGGGCAGGCTCAGGGTGGACACCAGGAGGGATTTCCCCATGGAAAAGGCACTCAGGCTTTGGAGCAACTGCCCAGGTGGAGCCCCGGGGGCTGCTGAGGAGTCCCTCAGCTGCAAATTCCTCCTGAGTGCCATCTGGGAGCTTGCAGGGAGCAGTGACTCTCTCCCAGCTGCCAAGCTGCAGGTGCTGGCTGTGTGGGAGGCACCCAGGCATGAGGCAATCCATGTCCCTGGGCAGTGCTCCCTGGAGGAATGCAATTCACCTGCCAGTAAATCTCTATTGTATTATATATTCTATTATATTATATATTCTTCTTATTCTTTCTGATTGCCCCCTTGCCCCTGTATTACAGTGGGCCTGTGTTTGGAACAGATATGTTCTTGCTTGTTAAGGTGTCTATTTTTGTGTTACCTTGTTAGAAACACAAATTATTACTGGCTTTGTTGCCCTCAGTGTCATTTCCATTAGTCTGAACCCCACAAATGAAAATCTCTGCTGAGCATCATTCTCTTAATTCCCAGTAATCTCTTTTCTTACTATTTTTCCCCAACAGGTTGCCAACAACTCAAGTCATGGAAGATTATTTTTTCTTTTTTTTCTACAAATCCTTGGAATTAAAAAATGGCTTTTTGCAACTCCAGTGTGTGAAAGCATTTTTATATTGTTACAGAGCTTGCATTCCTAATGTACATTGTATAGTTGGGGTAGGGTAGTTTCTATTTTGATTTTGTGTACTGTAATTTCACTTTTTGAATTCTTGTAACGAGGATCACTTGGTTGTGTTATTAAAACACAGATCTTATGGATCTCAACTCCTGGGTGTATTTTTTTGTGGAGTCACTTTTTTCTCTTTCCTGTACTTTTGTAGATGTTTCATGTTTGATAGCTCAGCATTTAGTGACTCCCTCCAAATGGGAACCTTGCCTTGTGAGTTTGTGAAGCACAAGATTGAAACTTAATTCATTGCATTAATTGTAGCTCTGAGCATCAGGCACTCACTAGTTGAGGATTGTGTTGTCTTTCATCCATGTAATAAAGGAAAGGAGAGGCACTGAACACCAAAACCATCTCCCCTACTGCTGGTGTTCCTGGAGCATCAAGGGGATGCAGATGGACCATGAGAGACACCTGAGCAGCCACTGCCACCCCAGCTGTGACACCTGGGCAGACAAGGAGCTGCTCACAGCGCAACCTCACCGTGGGACTGAAGGTTTCTAACATGTCCTCTGCCATTACCTTTGATCCATAACTGGCTTGAAGGGGTTGGGATTGATGGACAGGGGTTGTGGCAATGTCTGTGTGGGGTTTTCAGTGGGAATCACTGCCCTGTTGGAGTTTGCTAGCAAAGCAGTGATACATGAACAAAAAATGAGAGAATCCAGGTAGATTTTTAAAGCCTTGCTTCTCTCGGAATAGCAACTTCAGAATATTTGATTGTTTTTGTTTGCTTTTCTAATCATGCCCACATCTTTGGGCCTGGAGTGTGTATTTATTACATTTTGGCCATGGAAGGTGTGTTTGGGAGAGTCTGAACTGTGTCACTTGTGAAGAAAAATGACCAATGTCAGCCATTCCTGACAATCATTGCAATGCTCCTCCAGCTTCAAATGCAGATTTCAGCAAGCACTAGTGGCAGGCAGCAGTTGCACCACACTTGAGCTGCTCCTTAAATGCCACCAAATTAGCACTTGAGTGCTGTGAAGGCAATATGACAGGTCATTTTTCCAAACTCACTGTAATAAAAGCTCATAATAACGGGGGAATTTTGTGAACATGAGAAATGTATCAATATATACTTGTAATACCAGACTTAGGTCCTTTGTAATGTCATTTCAAAAAAAAAAAAATCTAATAAACGGTTATGTGGTAACAAATAGCCAGCTCGTGTGTGTTACAGCATAATCTAGCATAAATATATCATTAGATGGGAGATTATATTTAGTTGTGAGTTATAAAAAGACTTTAGCACAGCTGCTGCTCACAGGAAAGTCTAAAAATCCAGGTGTGCTCTGTATAATAAAAAGGTGATGATTTGTGCCCTGTCAGATCTGGCCTTTAGCAGCTAATCAGAATATAGGAAAATTTTAGTTAGAAATAGTAACAAATTACAATTAATTCTAATTAATTATTAATTAGAATATAGGGAAGCATATTCAAGTGGATAATAATTTTGTATGATGTTTATACATGTATATTCTCATATATATATGATGTATAATGTTATAAGTTCTCATCTGGCTGTGTTCCTCCTTGGCCATTGTTGAATTTGCCCGCACCCTGTACAGCAGCAGTAACCCTGCTTTCCTCAAGTTTATCCTGGCAGAATAAATTCCAGGAAAATCATTTCAGCTTTAAGAAGCAGCTGTATTTTTCCAGTCACTGGAAAGATTCCAGTCATTGTTCAGTTGGGATATTTTTCCCTCATAAATGCAACACTTGACTGATTTTAGCTGCTTTTCCCTGCACCTACTCTGGGTTTCCATTGCCATCCTCTCCCAGCCCTGCTTCTCTTCCCCTGTGAGCCTTCAGAGCCCCACTTGAGCTGCAGTTGTTTGTCTTGGTTTGGACAGACAGGGGTCTGCTAAATAAGGCAGGAGCCTCCCCTGAAATGGAAAATGCAAACCTCTCCCCCCAAATTGTTATAATTTTGAAATTAAGGGGCTCTCAGGCAAAGATATGGGAGCAGGAATAACAGTTCTTTATTAGGAAAAATTAAAAATGCAGTAATACAAAACAACACTGGCAGAGTGAGAGCAGGCCCTGTCCCCTCTGTGTGTCAGGGAGGTGGCACAGCCCCATCCCATGGGGGCTCAGCCCTCCTGCAGTGCCAGCTGTGGCTCTGCTGGAGCAGGGATCCTGCACAAGGGGGGAGTTTTCCTCTGAAGGTCCCGTGGAAGAGGCAGCTGCTCCTCTGGGAATCCAGTGGAAAAGGCTGTTCTGGTGTCCCAAACTTCAGATTGGATCCAGGTAGGAATGCTTGGCTCCTCCCCTGGGCGGAGCATCTCCCCATGGAAGATGGAATTGGATCAGCCATGCAGGGACACTCACTGGCCATGGACAGAAGGTAATTAATAATGAATGGCCCACGGACAGCAGAGATCTCCTGGAGGGAGGATTGGTGTGGGAGAGATAAAGAAAAACTGCCCAATGAGCAGAGATAACAGCCCCAGCTCTGACAGACGGCAGTACAACACACAGCCCTGGCCACATCGTGCATTTCCAACCTAAGACAAGGCCCTTTCAAAGATCTGCATTAGGAGCAGCAAACAGAATCAGTGTTTTTCTGTGACAGAAATTAGGAGTGACCTAATGCAAGTCTTCAGCCACAGACTGTGCAGGCAATCTTTAACAGCAGGGCTGGGTTTGAATTAAGACCTGAGAACTAAGTTAAATATCACAGGAGCTGTGTGGCCTGTGTATTTTTACCTGGGCAACACAAATAAATTTGACATTGCTGTTTCATCTCTTCTGGTTTCCTAATTCCTGTCTTTATAGCAGGAATGTTACTCTGCACAGAGGAACAGCATTCTAATAAAAGCATATTTTAAACACTTCTGCCTACTGATAAATGATCCAGAGCTGTGATATCCTTAAGAGGATTTTTCATTTAATCTCTGCCCTAAAGACAATGTACAGTAAATAAGACTGCAGCTTTCAGCCAGCAGCATCTGGTGCAGGCACTAAATGAGGCTGGAGAGAGCCAGTGACACAGTGACCTGTGACACTCACCCCAGGCAGGAGCCAGCTTGGGAGCCTCCCTTCCCACAGGATGAGCCCAGCTCCCTCAGGGCCAGGCAGGTGTCACTGTGCTCTCACCTCATTGCAGGGGTTCCATGCTGTTGTCTCCTTATCACAAAAGTTTCATGCTTTTGGCTTTTCTTGGTGTTTCTCATGGGCAGCTCTCAGAGCACTGACTCCTTCACAAAGCAGCCACTGACTTCAGTTCCCTTCTCACCCAGCCACCCACTCTTTTATTGCACTCTTCTTCTCATTGGGTATACCTGTGGCCTGTTAAAGTCAGGCCTGTCCCTAATCTTTGATAATTGGCCCAGCTGCAACTCCTTAGGGGTAAGATTAATTTCTAAACTACCTTTATTTTCTTACATTCTTTCCCCCCACATCACTGCCTGCTGTGGGACAGAGGAATTGTTGGGCTCCATCCTGCCACTCTGGTTTTGGCAGGGAGCCTTTGTGCCAGCTGATGTTTCCTGTCCTCCTTTAAACTGACTCTCTTAACACCCCCAGGAAAGTGCCCTTGGTTCCCTTCCTTGATGCCTGGTGAAGGCTGACCTGGAGCAGAGGCTGGGCAGAGCTAAATAAAGCAGGGATTATTAAAAGGATCTCCTCAATGGATCCACCTTGGGCAGCACAAGAGCCCAGCCAGGGCTGCACCCAAGATGAACCAAAATGGTCCCAAAACAAACCCAAGATGAACCAAAATGGTCCCAAAATGAACCCAAGATGAACCAAAATGGTCCCAAAATGCCCGAGCGCTCCCGGGGTCTCTCCCTTGGATCAGTTCTGCTCCATTTGCATCTTGCAGTTCATTGTCCCATTCCAGCTTTAGCCCCTGCAGTCCCATCCTTGTTTTTCTCTCTCCAGCCCACGGGGTTTGTGCTCTTGGGCTGAGATTTGGATCATTTGTCCTTGGTGCCCAGCTGGAGCAGGAATTGTTTTGTCTCCCTGCTCTGTGCCCAGAGCTCAGCATCCCCTGATGTGAACCCAGACCAACACACTGAAGCAGCACAGAATCTGAAAAATAAAAGAAAAAGATAAACCTGAGGCATCATCCTCAGGGCATTGGGTTGCCAGAGGTTCCTGTGGAATTGTAGATGTCACCTGCCTGTCCTCCAAATCCTGGGCAAGTGCTGGAGTCACTCACTGGCCCTTCCTCCAGAGCTCAGAGCTCGTGGAATTCAGTCCCTCACACTGTAAATACATTTGGCCCTGCCCTCCAAAGGGAAATAATGTCAATTCTATAATTTGGCTGGCAAGCAGCTGTAACCACAGCCAGAGCCTCTGTCCAGCATTTCTCTGACATTAAACCTGGAGTCTGCACTTTTCCTGGAGGTGTCCACACGGAATTATTTAATGAAAATCTTCTCTTTTCCTGACTTTCTAGCAGAGAGTGCCTTCTAGTGGCACAGGCACTGCGAGGAGCAGCACTGCTCAGTGAATCACTCGGGCACCTTTAATGTGGGGCTCAGAGGCTGGGGCTGTAAGGAGCTGCTGAGCTCTGGGGATTGCACTGAGGATGGTTTACAGGTCAGAAAATCAAGAGCAGGCACAAATCACTTCCTGGGCTTTAAGCCTCGCTGTTTTGAAAAGATCTAATGCTTGCTGAGATAGTTTTTCCTCATTCTGATGTAGAGTTAATGAAATTAAATTAGGAAAATAAAGAATGAGAATAGACACTTTACCTCTCACAAACATTCTGAAATCAGAAAGGTTTACCAGGAATTGCCTCTCTGAAAAATGTGCATGTGATAATAGAAGTGCTCTTTTACATTGTTTTGCTACAGAGCTGATGTCACCCTGGGTTTTTAAGATTTTTCTAAGCCTTCTGATGTTGACATTCTTGTAGTGAATTTTCTCACACACTTTCTGTAAATAACTCATTGTTTTGCATTCCTTTATGGAGGAGGAGAGAGTTGATGGACTGTTGGTTTAACCAGTGGCATTGGAGAGGTGCCACTGTCACCCTCCAATCCACTGTCACTTTTGGAAAACTATAAATGTTGGAGTCAGAAAATAAACGGCCTTTTTTTCTCTTTCACCTTGAGAACGGTGTGAGTGTGTGTTCTTTTGTGTC